CACACACACACACACACACACACACACACACACACACACACACACACGCACACACACACACACACACACACAGGCTTGTCACTGCCATCAACCCACACGCCTACGAACTGCAGCAAGGCGCAAAAAAAAGGTACTTACACACGCACACACACAGATGGAAGTACATGCACGCTTACACAAACACACACACACAGCTTTGAGACGAGCTGTGGAGTGTTAGGTGCGCTGACCCTGCCAATGAGGACAGGAGGAACATCAACGGAGCTACAAGGCCGTTGCTATGACAACTAGCCCCGCTCACACAGGTAGGAAGCACAATAGGGCCTAAGCTGTTATATGTTCACATTCTCCGTTTCTCTCTCCCCCCCCCCTTACACACAGGGCCATGCACTCAAACAAAGTCTATCAGACGGCGGCTGCATGCCAAGGTAAGGCCATATTTCCTTTTCATTCCAGCATTCCGAGCGCTGAAATTATTCATTATGTCCAAGTGAACCTGCCAATAAGAGAACTCACTCTTTAAACCAGCGAATGAGAGCGTGAGACATGGCTGAGTGTGAGACAGACACACAGACCGAGCATCACTCTGCATACTAACGGCACCTGCACTAGGGTAGCCTGTGCACGTCTCTGAGGGGCCCTTAAATAACGGACTGTCACTGCCCAGACATCGACATTGACTTCTCTCTCCCTCTTATCCTCTCTCCCTCTCCTCCCTTCATGCACTCTTTTCTTCCCTTTGTCACCCCCCCTCACAGACGAGAGCTGATAATCACCACCATGAGCACGCCTTGTCTCTCCAGCACATTGGCCCTGTTGCCACTGCAGGATGTGCTGCTGCTGCTGCTGCTGTGTCCTGCCTATAACTGCCCTGACAACTCAGGGGGGCCGCCGGGATGGAAACCCCGGGACTGGACGGATGCTCACCGGTTAACCTTGGTGTCTCCTGTTTCTATGTAAAGAAAACACCTATCCAACATCAGGAGCTGGACTCACAGTCAAAGCTCTGGTATGTGTCGCTGGCATGTAAATTCAGTATTATAAAAGTCAACCCACGGAGGTAGCAAATAAACAAAACAAGTGTCTGTGTGTGTGTGTGCCATTACCTGGGGAGGTACTGTATCCTGCTGCCCTGCCTACGCTGTATGTAAATTCAGTGATAATAAAGGTAATGGTTGAGAAGAATGTAGATACTCAAAAAAAAAAAACACGTTGGGGTTAACAGGGTTCATTGCGCGCGCATTTAACCACATTACGTGTGTGCGCGTTGTATGTATGTGTGTGTGTGAGCATCATCATACACGCTGCATGCCCACAGTAAAGCCCAGATGACCCAGCAGCACGAGCAGTGCGAATGAAGACTCGGTCCGTTAGCGGCATCGATGAGGTTAATGTAAAAAAAAAAAAAACTCAAAAAGAAACGTAACCAGAGGTGCGCAGCACAACTGGCTGAGCGGACGGTAAGCAATTTTTTGGTGTTGTGTACACAAGACGCTGCACGCGCACTCACCAGGGGAGAGAGAGAGAGTCTGGGGGGCTCGCGCTGGCTGCTGGAGCTGTTGCGGTGTCAACGTTGGCTGGTGGGGGCTGTGGGCTCGCGCAGCTGTCGGTGACGGTGCTTCGCTCCTCTCCTCTCCCGGGTCACGGAGCCGTTGCCTTGAAGGCTGCAGCCGTCAGTGAGCAGCATGTCCCCTTCATTTGGGCTCCCCGCGTCGGAGGGAGATAGCCCTCCCGCATCAATGTAAACGTTGTCTCCTCCTGCCGTCGCGCGCCACCGTCTCGTGCGGCTCAATGGAAAAACCGCTCCTCTGGCTCACATCAATATCTGCACCCGCAAAGATGGGAAAGCAAAAAACACAATAGGAAGGAGAAAAAAAATTAAAATGGTGAGCTGGGACGTTGGTTCACAATCTGGTCCCCAATTTAGGTAATGACATAACCGCACTCGAGCCCTGTGCTCCGGTTTTGGTGACAGGCACGGGACTCCCCAGTATGCGGGAGGCGAAAATCGACCGTGCGTCTCTGCCTCTGCAATTCCAGCTCTCTCTGTCTCTCGTGCGCCCCAGTCTCCGCTGTGGCTCTCCAACGTGCCTGGCTGTCAAAACCATCCGGGCATCCGTAGCTGGCCTCACTTTACACCTGTGGAATTGTGGGAAAAGTAGTTTACTGAAGAGCGAGCATGAATGGGGGAGTCAGTGAAGAGAGCGAGAGACAGACGAGAGTGGGAGTGGGTGGAATTTCGGAGTGCTGCTAATAGTTTCCAGAGCCACAGATCGCAATAACACTAAGAATATCCGATGATATTTTATATTTAGCTAAAAACTTCAGGCCTGCGCTCAAGCAATTTCTGTTTAGGTCAATTCATTAATTCAAGGTTGTTTACAGAGCTATACTGAATTGGCTCTTTGACATTATAAGGAAACATACAAAAATAGCACAAGTGTCCAAATATGAAGAGAGACATAGAGAGACAAAGAGACATGTCTTAACCTGGAAAAGATATTTGATTTTTATTACAATAACATAACAGGGAATCTCATAAAATCACATAAAGGTTACACTCTATAGTCAAAACAAAACAGATTTAAAACACTTTCCTTCCAAAGACCACCAGCATTGATCGTTCCCCTTTATGTGTAACATTTCACCCTGAATGCATGAAAACTGTGTACATGTTAATATATAAGTCTTTGTGTTGCACAGATATATCGGAGTTAAATTAAAACAGCAACAGAGACAGTTCATACTAAATTGTCATTCAAATTATCAGACAAACAAAGAGCATTCCTTACCATCTCTCCCCTCAGACTTTACTAACACAGTATTGAAGGTACTTTAAATGCTAAAACAACCTTAATTTGACCACTTTAAAGCAGATGTTGGAGCAAGTTTGAAATCAGTTCCCCCTTTCAGGTGATGGACATGGATCAGTTCAACAGCCTTTTTAGAATATAGTAAGAGGAAGCATCTTATTATATCTCACAGTGTCTGCATACATAATCCATCACACAAGTTCACGAGGTTTATTTAATGTTGTCTGAAACCTGTTGCACCGTCCATCGTTTCTCTATCAACACCTTTCTCTCAGGCAAACAGTTGTCCTTCGAAGCTGCTCTCCCCAGAGACAGAAATCAGAAAAGGGACCTGGACATTTAAGGCAGCTGAACAAAAATCATGTACCAACTTCACTCCCCCCCCCCCCGCCCCACCTCAACACAACCATCTACATCTTCTTTCGGTTCCTTGTTGTCATGGTTACAGAGTAAAGCAACATTACTGCAAGGCCTGATCAGCAGAGATCCGACTCCGCTCTTCAACATGGTTGACTGAACTGTCCTGAATGGGTTGCACTACAGTGATCAATAACCAAAAGGAGGAAACTGTCTTTAAACAATAAAACAAGGCAATGATATGTATCTTAATATGTTAGTGTGTGTGTGCGTGTGTGTGTGTGTGTGCACAGTAAGAATACAAATACAATGAAGGCATATTGGTGTGTCTGCATGTATACATCCCACGTCTGTCTTTCTCTTTATGTTTGTCCGTTTATTGCTCCACATCTGTCCTACACGTGTGTGGTCACAGATTTTCTCCGGGCTGGTACTGCGGCTCTGTGGCCGTGAAGTAATCCTCCAGGAAGGACTGCAGGTACTCAAAGGTGTGCCTCTCATCAGCCTCTCGCCTCCAGCACTGCAGCATCAGTTCATGGAGCGAGGCGGGGCAGCCCGGGGCACAGGGCATCCTGTAGCCCCTCTCCACCTGCTCCAACACCTCACGGTTGTTCATGCCTAAAGGGATGGAGGAGGGAGGAGGGAGGGAGGGGGTGGATGCGGGAGAGGGTTCAGAGAAGGAGGGATGGATTTTAAAGAAAACACATAAAACAGACAAGAAAATTGACACATATTGGGTATGGAGAAAAGTTAAAGCAGAGAAAAGAAAATCCTTAGAAATGATCACACCGCAGTAGTGGTGCTAATCACACAGAGGAACTCAAGATACAATGCAAAGATAAAATACTGCAAAGATATACTTTATACTGCAACATTAAAATAATTTAGGACGCATCTGAATATGGTTATAACTGAAGAAAACACATCTCCAAACTTGTATAATAAAAAATAAAACAGGAAAAATTTAAATTGAATGTATTTATTTACTGCTATTAAACATGCAGCAAGGTGTTGTTTTTTGTGGCTTTAATGTTATTTGATTAATCTTACATTATCCTTCTGACCCTTTATTGCCCTCTAATATTATATCTCATTCATCGTAAGTCTGTCTTATATGTTTTGTATTATTTTGTTGTATGTGGTGCTGCTGTCTTTGCCATGACACTACTGTGAAAGAGAATTCATAAATGAAGTTATATTATCATATTACAACAGTTCCAAAAAAGTCTGGAGTAACAGAATGATACAACTTGAACTTCAAATCCCCTTATAGCAAGTTTAACAGAAAATAAATTATTGATTTCATGAAAATTCTTCATCAAAAAATTGTGTAAAATGAGCAATACTTGATGTCGGTGTATCAATGACATCTTGTATGAGAAACTATTGTGGTGAAAGGACACAGTAAAATCAAAAATGGACACAGCATGATCTGCACACCAGGGTGGCAGGTGCTTAAAAGAGGGTCTCCCCTTCCCTCATATCTACTTTTGAAGCACTTTTGAGAAAGACACTAAGGCCCTAAACTCATCAAGTGCTATGATGTAGTTTGGTCTGGTTGAAAATCTCAGTAAACTCTGCAAACCTAACCAAAGCTGTTGCAGAAAAATGACTAAATCCTGCAGAATTCTCACTGCCGAGGACGATACTTCGTGAGATGAGGAAATACTGAACTAGCATCCAGGTATCGTCCAGTACCTGGGTATGGCACACGTCCCTTGGTGATGAGTTCAGTTAGTAGGATGCCAAAGCTCCAGACATCTGACTTGATGGTAAAGCGTCCGTACAATGCAGCTTCAGGAGCCGTCCACTTGATGGGGAACTTCGCCCCTGAAAACCATGGCAACACAGCGAAGACGCATAATCATATAATTAGGATAGGTTATGTATAAAAATATAGGCACGGAGGCAGAGGCAGACACTCTTAATCATCACATTGTGCAATCGTTGCTCTCCTCATCTGTCTCTCTCACTCGTACACACTCACGTAACATCTCACGCTGTTACCTTGTCTGGCTGTGTACTCGTTGTCCTCGATGAGCCGGGCCAGGCCGAAGTCAGCAATCTTGCACACCAGGTTGTCTCCAACAAGTATGTTAGCTGCTCGCAGGTCACGATGGATGTAGTTCATCCTCTCGATGTATGCCATTCCAGCTGCAATCTAAAAAGACAAATAGAGCTCAGACAAGATAGTAAAAGTATGAGTTTCCTTTACGTCTGTCATTGTGTGTGTGTGTGTGTGTGTCTGCTTAACTCACCTGTGCAGCCATGTCCACCAGTTGAGGCAGCTTAAGATCCTGCCCCTCCCCATCTTTTAAGAAGTCCAACAAGCTTCCTGAAAAACCAAGATTGTTGCGTCATGACTGGCCAGTCCTTTTGCCTCCTGTAGTTTAACTCATATCGCGGGTACAAAATATAATTTCAATCAAAACCAGAGAGATGCTTGTAAATTCATGGTTACAGAGTTTATTGTGCATGCAAATATCTTAATGCAAACTTATGTCTCTTTCGTTTTAGTTTCCAGTGAATTCTAAAGTAATGTTTCACCCGCCCCATGGCCACCAGAGGAAAGAGAATCCCTGGAATTTGTAGTTTGGTGTTTTGCCCAGCAGGGAGGCATGGCGGCTTAAAACAAATTACAAATTTCCAACAAATTTGTTCATTGTTTTTTTTGTTCACGGTATATTTCAAAATGGTTGAAAGCTAGGACAGGGACAGATCCCAACATTTTTTAAGGAATTCAATGCACAATAGGACGTTTCTAAGAATGTTCTCTATTCTCTCATGAACGACTGCACTTACTACTAACACTCGGAGGAGCTCACTTTTCAGTGTCAGTGAGGTTTCCAACCAACCGCAGGGATTCATTGTGTATCTACACTACATCACAGGCATGACAGTTTACTCAGCCTGATACCTTGGCTCATGAACTCGGTGATAATGTAGATGGGCTCCTCAGACACGACGGCGTAGAGCTGCACCAGCTTGTCATGGCGGAGTCTCTTCATGATCTGAGCCTCCTCCAGGAAGGCCTCGGGGGACATGGTCCCTGGCTTTAGAGTCTTCACCGCTACCTTGGTGGTACCGTTCCACATGCCTGGCATAGAGACAAGGAGATGTTAACGCGCACATAGCACATGGAAACACACAAAGACAGACGGCGCACACATACACACACATTTTCTGGCATACTGATGGTGAAGACTACATGTACATACATGTAGATGTAAAAAAATAGAAAAAAAACATGGAACACAATATGCAGGCTGTAACAAACACACATGTGGTTATACTTCTGTCGCATGCAAATGATTGCTGTTTTGGAGAGCATGCATGACATGAGACAGAGTGATGTTAGGAGGGAGGGAGATTTTACTGGTCTTACATCAACACCTTCAGGGAGAAGATTTGCACGGCTCAGAAAACCGAACACACTCGCATTTAGTCAGAGAAACTGTACGACATTTTCTAAACAAATTGGTCAGACATGTAATTGGAAATACATCACATGGGAATACCAAGCGATACTGGGGAAAACATCAAACTTCACTAGCCTACACAGAAATAAATGACATTCAACATTACCAACAATACAGGACAGTAACGGACACTACGGACGACAATGCTGGACAGACAGTTCTCCCTCTGAGCCTGCAGAGGGCGTCAGAGGTTGGTGGTGTCAGTCTCACCCATCCAAACGTCCCCGAAGCAGCCCTGTCCCAGCTTCCTTTGCATGGACAGAGTTTCCCTTAGCACCTCCCAGGCGTCCCGCCCAAGGCCCATGGTGAGTGGGGTGGAGTTGGGACAGGACATGGTCAGGTAACAACACAGCCCATCATTAGTGCCTGTTATGGGGAGGAAGGAGGGTGGAGATGTAGAGAAAGGAAAGAGTGGAAGTGTATTGTAGAATGGGAGAAAACGGGTGATGTGATGGGTGGAAAAATGGAAAAAGAGATGGGTGTGTGGGGGGGGGGGAGTGACAAATTGGTGAGGTGAGATGATGAAACATGCACATGCAACAACAGGGGAAGAGGGGAACAACTCTGCACACCTGGATGTAAAACAAAGCCACGTTGCTGTCCATTAACTGCTGCCTCTGCAATTGTTATCACACACAGGGGTTTATTAAGGTTTATTTTTCACTGTTGCAGTTTTAACTCAACACACAACATTTAAAGAACTATTCCAGACTACATGCTTCAACTGTGTGTGTGTATTTTGTGTGGTCCAATCCACAGGTATATTTGTTGCAGGTAGACAGACTCTGAACAACACAAACAGATATACAGGGCTTTACAGTGTATGTTTATGAAAGTGCAGGTGTCTTCACACCAGAAGTGTTACTGAAGTTCTTGTCAACTGGACACAACCAAGACTTAAATGTATTATATGTACCTGCTCATCTTTTAATACTTTATTTTATCCAGGTGTGCTCCAGCTGTCACCTTCCCCCACTGCAACACAGTCCCACCATTCCTACCCATCCAGACTTCTCCAAACTGGCCATTGCCCAGTTTTTTAATCAGCTGGAGGGATTCGCGGGGAATCTCCCACATATCCTTGGTCTTCACTGATAAGTCGGCCAGCTTAGGCATGCCCCGCTTGCAGTTGCCAATCAAACGGCAGCACAGTCCCGCCGCTCTCTCTGAGAGAGAGAGAGGAGAGACAAACAAGCAGGCGAAGGAAAGAAGAACAGAGGGAAAGAAAACAGAGGGAAAAAAGCAGCAAATGCAGAGATAAAAAAAAAGAACAAGACAGGTTGCTTCTGCACTTATGCAACTGACAAGTTAACCAAATACTAAAGTACAAAGGCACAAGGAAAACTCAGCAAAACAGACACAAACACACATTCAGAGCAGCATCATGTACAGAAAAAAAAAGAAAATACAGGGACGATACAGTTCATAAGAAAAACAAATACATTATGCAGGATATATGTGGCCAAATCTCTCAGGTTGCTTTTGATGATCGTGTCAGGTAAAGTCACGATTGCAGAATTATTGCTATATCAACTTCTTGCCACTAGGGGGCAGATTTACACTGACAGAGAGCAGAGGAAGTGGAGGGTGTGAACGCTCACAGTTGACGTCAACGCTGAATCAAACTTATAAAGTTAGTGGAATAAGTATTCAAATCCTTTACTAAAGTAAAAGTATGTCCATTACAAGTAAAACTTCTGCATCCAAAATTCTTCTTATGTAAAATTAGAAAAATCCACCAAGAGTATCGCAAGTAAAAGTGCTCTAAGAGTTATGTATTATTATACATATTACATCAGTAGATTATTGTTTCTGATGCATGTAAGCCTAATTGTAATGCTGTTGTTGGTCTAGGTAGAACTCATTATAATTACTTACTCTACTATTGACTAGTTTGATAACAATGCATCATCTTTTATAAGCTGATCATATTCTTTCTATGTAAAATCTGAATTTGGCAGGTAAATGTAGTGGAGTAAAAAGTACACAATTCTCCTTCTGAAATGTAGTGAAGCGGAAAGTAGCATCAACTGGAAAATACTCAAGTAGAATACCTCAAAATTGTAGTTATGTACAGTAAAAGTACTTACTTCCCACTCGTGTTAATAGTGTAATTACAGTAGGCATCAAGTAGATTAACATAACTAAAGTCTCTCCAGCAGCTGGGCAGAGAATGATCGGGCAGAGAGTCAGAACAAATTGTAAGTAAAATTCATAGAAGCAGGAGCTTGAAGCATGAAGGTCCATCAGAAAATGGCAACACAGACATTTCTTTTTTCACTTTGAAGGAGAAGCAAAATAAAGAGGATGAATTAGGGTCCATGTGTGTGTGTGTGTGTTTATGTGTGTTACCTGTGTAGTGCTCTACCAGCTGCTGCACTGTGTCGAACTGTGATCTCGTGGTGATGTAGTAGCCACCATTGTCCAGTTTGCGGATCTTATAATGTTTGACGTGGTCTCCCTTGTTATCGTCCCAGTCACGGATCGACAGAGAGTAAGCACCTGAAAGGAGAAAGGAGAGAGAAAGAGGGAGGGATACAACGAGGGGAAGGAAGGAGGGGAGGGGTGGACGAAGAAGCACATAGTGGGGTTGAGGTGAGCGATAGAAAGAGAAAGAAATTGAAAGCTTTCATATATTTAGAGAAGTAAGCTTCTATTGAAAGAGTGTGTGTGTGTGTGTGCGTGCGTGCGTGTGTGTGTCTGTGTGTGTGTGTAAGAGTGGCCTCTTTACCTTTGGTGGTCTCGCTCTCTCGTATGAGGAAAGTTCCCCTCTGGTTGCTACTGCCCAGCAGCTGTCTCTCCGCATCCTTCCTCCCCATCTTCCCAAAATACCACCTGTCACCATGACAACAACACAGAGGTCACCGCAGTGACAGCAAGCAAACCTGTGACCTCTGCCCTCAGACTACATGTCAATCATTTGCAAAATCTTTCAAGATAAACTGTACTTATATTGCAGCAGACGTGTGTGTGTGTGTGTGTGTGTGTGTGTGTGTGTGTGTGTGTGTGTG